ATTATATTTTCACTAGCTGCCTAAGGGATGCCTGAAGCAGGCAGACAGAAAATTATATTAAACAAGAAATCTATACAGAGATTTGCTGGTGGCAGAGGAAGAATATTCTTCCATCAGTCCACTGTTCTGTCATGGATTGTCACCTGGCCACAGATCTTAGGCAGGTTAGAAAAGCTCCATTAACTTCCATTTTCTGCCTTAGATTTCAGTCAACCAACTCTGGAATATTAGAAGGTATTTTAAATACAAAAATGAGTATGTGCTGTCTCAGCTGTGTGTTGGCAACATGAAATGACTGTTTCAGCTTTTACATTTAAATAACATTTATATCACCCCTAGGAATATGCTTTAAAGGCTGAAGCCAACAATTGGAAGTTATTTGCATAAAACTACTAATAAAACACTTTCTGAATTGTATTTTTCTTAGGAACTGTGATGTATACAAGTGGTAATCTTCCTGACTATGACACATTCAGCAGCACAGTTCTTAGTAAAAGAAGGTAGAAATTAGCAACCCAAAGTGCTGGAACAAAAAAATTATGCCCATATCAAAGCATAAATGCCGAAAATGGCTATCAGTGTGACCTCGAGTTTTAAATGATTAGGTCACAATTTGAACAAATGCCCTTCCTTAGTCACCTGATACTTAGAAATTTTCTCTATTCTATTTTTCGAAGTCTTGCTTTGTGGGCTGGATAAGAACTTAATTTAAGTGCCTTCCTTATTTTCTGGGGGCAGAACTTTAACGTAGGCTTAGAAGACTGCAGCTGCCAACAAGAACAAGCTAGCGTCAAAGCAGCTCTCAGGGACAGAGAATATTCAAAACACAAACATCTGAAATAGGGCCCAGATATCCAGGCAAACTACCACAGCTTAACAATGTACTGCCTGTCACGGGTACTGTAACAGCTGACTGCAGATGTTTTGAGCCTGTGGCAAATGGAAACCAAAAGTATTCCAGTCTTTCTTACTGGCACTTTAGCCATCAGCTGGATCAACTAAACTCAAAAGGCTTATCATCTCCCCTGGTCAGATACTGAGACAAGGATTCCTGCCAGTATTCCTACTGAATGTATCTCACTCATTTTAAATTCACACACCTGATTCAAGCAATTCAACCTAAAAGCAATCATGGAAAATATTCAAGTACTCAGTTGTACAGAGGAATAAAATCACAAGACTAACAATTCAGGATGTTATCACAGAATGTTAAATGATACCCCTCTTTTGTGCTATAGCAGGGGGAATTACTTCATTTAAACTATAATGAAACATGTAGAAATTGGAAATGAATGTCCATTTAGGTGGTTTTGTGCTAAAATGAAAGAAATAATTGCTTAATAAACTGCTGGCACATTTGAAACTGTGCTTATCATAATACCCATTAAAGACTCTAAGGGACAGATCCATCAATTTAGTACCTGTAACATAAATGGTTCAAGTCTTCGAGTGTTCCCTCAGAACAAAAGAGACATTTTCAAGGACTGTTTGAAATGCACAATTTCTGACAGATAACAAATGCTACCACTCATGGAAGCACACTATACCAGTTCTTAAAAGCTATGCTGAGAAAGTTGGGGCTGTTCATCCTGGAAAAGAGAAGGCTGTGTGGAGACCTCACAGCAGCCTTCCAATATCTGAAGGGGGCCTACAAGCATGCTAGGGCGGGACTCTTCATTAGGGACTCTAGTGGTAGGACAAGGGGTAATGGCTTTAAACTTAAACAGGGGAACTTTAGGTTAGATATAAGGAAGAAGTTCTTCACAGTGAGGGTGGTGAGGCACTGGAATAGGTTGCCCAAGGAAGTTGTGAATGCTCCAACCCTGGAAGTGTTCAAGGCCAGGCTGGACAGAGCCTTGGGCAACATAGCTTAGTGTGTGGTGTCCCTACTCATGGCAGGGGGGTTGGAACTAGATGATCATAAGGTCCTTTCCAACCCTAACTAATCTATGATTCTATGATTCTATGGTATTTAGCATTTAATGACCCTGCATATAACATTGGTACAAAAAGCAGAAAATCTCTTCCCCCCCACTCACACAGCTGTATCAACAGAAGCCTGCCACATGTTAAATGATCTTTCTTCCCTTGTGCTTTGTCTTGACACAAACCAGGAGATCAGCTCCCAGCATGCCTGCCAGGCACTCCAGATCTGCCTTCTGTGGTTCTTAACACTCCACACATCAACACTGTGTCCATTTACAGAAAAGAGGATGCGGAACTTGTGCCATGCAGATGACCCAGCGTGCAAGTTAACCAGTTCCTACAGTTCACTTTTATCAACAGCGTTGAGCACATTTCCAGTAAGCCTGCAGCACATGGGAGCTGCACAGCTGCATCACCAAAGAGCCCTCAGCACAGATGTGCTCACCAGCCACAAAGAGGCTGCTCAGCAAAGCCCTGGGCTCTAGGGTAGCTTTGTGGTGTTGTCACTTCTTTTGCTGTTCTCTCTCCTCTCTCTCACACCATCTCAGGGAATTCTTACTCCCCAGAACAAAGGCAAATGAAAGACACTTCCAAAGATTTTGGACAAACTGTATGCTTTTTAATACAGTTATTTTTCTGGAATTCCATTGCTTTTTAAGATAGAAGTGATGAACTACTGTGTATATTTTGGAGTTATTCCTTAAAGGAATGGCAAAATGCAGGTAATGTTTTCAAAACAGTGAGAGGTATGCCAAGTACAAAAGTACTTGTATTGTAACGGTGAGCAATTTCCAAACTCCAGCTGTAATGGGAAGTTCCTGGAACACGTTTAAACTAAATTCTGCTTGGCTCAGAGCCATGCAAATATTTCTTTTCCACATTCCCATCAATTACCGAAGTACAGTAAGTGTTTTTGTTCATAAGTGCAATATTACAGAGACACAAATAAGCCATTTTTCTTCCAGCAGTTGGAGCTAACATTTCTAAAATACCGTATTACACATTTGGCAAACTTGAAGCATGCTCCAATTTTTACTTGCATTACATTAGAAAGCCATGTCATTGGAATCAAGTGAAAATGGGTAGTACAATTGCATGTCCGAATCAGATAACACATTCTTAGAATGTGTTGTTTATACTCCAGTGCTAGCATAAGTATTCATGCTTGGGAGAGCAGTCACCAAGCAGAAAACAGCTATTGATAAGTGTTTACATGCACACAATAGCAGATATGTACCATGAAGGAGCTCTTTTAGTGAAAAATTACATTGTATAAAGTCAGTTACCGTTATAAATCCATGTTTCAGATTGATAATTTTATACTAAATAATCCTACTAAAAAAGAAGAGCTAATCAGAGGTATGCACATACTTTACATGCTTTTTAGAGTGAAATATATCACCCTCCCAAACATTGCCTTCCATCAGTCACAAAATCTACAAAGACTATAGGAGTGCAAAGTACTCTCTCAATGCATGCCAGCTGTAATCTCCCTGTACCATGTGTGCTTACATCTCCTCTTACAGATGCCTCAGACTATAGCACAAGGTTGAATATGAATGCATTTCTAGGGATAAAAAGAAAATTGCCCATTTTCTGAAGCCTGCAGCCCCATGTGGGGGGGTGATAACAAAGATATGCCTGAAGTGCAGGGGGGTGAGTTTCTACAATACTAGCATAAAAAAAATAAATGTTACACTGAATTAACCATTATCACTAAACATAATAAACTAAGCATGGAAACTCTGACTCATATGACCATCTTAGAAAAGAAATCCAGGTATCCCACTAAAGTTAAGTACCACCTTATTTACATTCTGTCTAGTCTCACCAATCCTTACCTAATCCACCATAGCATGCACCAGGGGTAGCTGATCATACAAAGATAGAATCTACCAGATCCACAGGTAAGGATGTTGGGAAACACAGTTCCATTCTCTTCAAGGCAAACTGGTAAACTCAAAGATCTGATGGACTTGACTTTATACATCAGACTGCTACTGGCAGGAACTTTTTCTCCCCTACATAATCTACAGACCTATTATCTTTTATTTCTTCAAATGCCATCTTTGATGGTATGTCTATCCATGGTTACATCAAGGTGACTGGCTAACAGAAGACTGAAACTTCTGGTTTTCTTACTCCTTGTATTTTCTCGTCTGTTACTGTTTGTCTGTGAACATGGAGTCTGCTACCAAAAATAATTAAAAAAAGTACAATAAAATCACACCATCAAGCAAAGCTGCTTACAACATCAGCTTACTTATGCCAATGTTCATACCCTGTGTCTTTCAATATACGATTTACCCAATTTGTTCTCTAAGCTTTAAAACCTTTGGGGCAAGAATTATCATCTCTGCTCATACTATAGTTGGCACAATAAAGACTTAAAACAGGTTAAAGCTTTCAAATGTTACTACAGTATATTGCTTTTTATACTGCCAATTCAGTTAGGTTTTATTAGCAATAGTTTGCATGCTAAAACCGTGCACAGAACTTTATTCTATTATTGAATTTCATGCAAAATAGTTTGAGGCAACTATTGCCTAAAACGACTCCTGCATAGCTCGCTGAAGAAAGATTTATGCCATCTAACAAAGGGTGGTACAATTTAGCCTTTCTTCACAATGGAGCAGACGAGACAACCACTCTTTGCTGGTTGCTGAAGAGTGGCAATACTAATAGAGTTCAAAGTCACTTTTAAAATGACTTTTAGAGAAATCTTTATCTTCTACTCTGGGTGGTTGGGCTAGACTACGTACAATATAATCATTGCTTGGGTGCTGAAAGAACCAATCTAGCTAGGCCATAGCGGTACTTCTGATTTGCTGTTCTCCTTCTAGTACATGCCCAATATTTAAGCAGCGCAAAACTTCTGATCTCCATTGTAACACCGCATGAAGAAAGTGGCTGTACTCCATTTTGAACCCTCTTTGAGACAAGAGGAGTATATTAGTATTTTAAGACAGAAGGACTGCAACATCTTAGGCTTTACAAGAGGTTGTACTATGGAATCTCAGTAGTGCATCACAGTCCCCTGGTTACAGACGACATGAAAAAGCACATGGACTTACTGACAATTCCCTGATTAATTTTCTTAGTTCCCTGTGCCCGTGCTTCTCAGCGATAGTTGCTGGATCCTCTCCATATTTATTGGTTATTTTGCAAGCCTTTGTGGCCTCAGGAGAATTGAGTAGAAATGTTGCAAGGTTCTTTAATCCAAATCTGGCTGCACAGTGAGGGAGAGTAGGAAATTCTTCCAAATGGCTATCTGTATATGGAAACAAAAGTTCTCATAAAGAACAGTTTCACTTTTATAGAACACCTTCTTTTACAAAAGTCCTTTGAATATTAGTGCTATGGAATCACAGTTATCAAACTGTTAATACAGAACTGGTATCCAAAGAACAATTCCTCCAACTAACAGTTTTACAAGTCACATATATACTTTAATAAAGGGTCCTTCAGTCTAACTGAGAAATCTGTTTGTTTTGATAGAGGGGTTTTAAAGCACTTAAATTCTATTAAGAAATAAGTTTTCTTGCAAGGGGAAGAAAATTCTACAGCCAAGAAATGCTTTTGCTTAGGTGTATATTATTTAATGCTTTAGAAATATTTATAGTTTGCAGCATTTCAATGGGACATTTTTATAGGTTTATGACCCAATGTTTTCATATTAAAAAACTCTTCTGAAAATTCCTCTGACTACTAGACACTTGCAAAAATTTGCTTATCTGTAATGAAAAAATTGGGGAATTTAAAGATGAATGTATTGGATAATGGTTTTTTAGGATTTATCTGAAAAAGCATGACATTCATTTCTATCAGAGACTTTATTTTTCACTGTGGAGGACTGGGACAAAGCTAAACTGAAGCCCATTTGTCATTTCAGCACAGTCCTGTATTCTAACTCTACAAGAGGTCACAAGTTACACAGTAGAAGGAGAAAAAAAAAAAAAGTGATCAAGCATAAACAATATTCCCTATGCCTTCATACTCTGAATTCTTACCACCAGTGGTTCGTTGTGCAGTTATTTGTCTATATATCAGCAGGAAATGTACCTATTTTCCAAGTATGTATCCATTGTGCTCCAGGCACCATCAACTTCATGCACCCTCAGGGTCTTTTGGCAATCTTTACTAGCCAGTGCACGAAGAACTGCTTCCTCTAGTTTATTTTCAACCTGGATCCTGCTAGGTTCAATTGATAATTCCTAATTCATGTTATTCTCCACCTCTGTCTTCTCTCTCTGCACTTCTAGTGATTTATTCATTCCCAGATTCTTTCTTGAAGAGCTCCAGTCTACTTAATTGTGCCTTACAGAGAACCAACTCCATAACCCCCACTGCTCTTTTCTGGACATTTTACAGCTTTAATACATCTATTTTGAGACGATAGGAGAAGAGCTGCACATGATACTTAAGTTATAGGTGAGCCATGTAATTTATACATTGTCATAATTATGTCCTGGTTTGTTCTCTATTTCTTTTCTAATAATTCTTGTTATTTCATTTGTTTTTTGATCTGCTGCCTAGCAACAAGGTGATGTTATCATGGAACTGCGTGGTCTTATTCCTCAGTGTTAATAGCCTGCTCAAAGCCTCTCATTCTGTATGACAACATAGGACTGCTTTTTCCACATGCATCACTTTGTTTTTACCTACAATGGATATCATCTGAAATTTTACTGCATAGTTACTAAATCTTATATGGCCTTTCTCCCACTTTTTACCCCAATGAGCCCTCCTCCTTACTACCCTGAATGCTTTGTATCACTTGCCTAAGTTTTTTCCAACTGTGTGTCTCCTTGTCTTGGCCAGCTGTCCATCCATGCCAAGTCAATTATTGATTTGATCAGAGTTGATGACTCTTACAAAAAACTATAAGAAATCTAGAAGCAAGATTTCACCTTACAGAAAAATTATTTCACTACAATTATTATTTTTTCTGGTAAAGACAACACATTAACCTGCTTCTAGTTCTCAAGGTCCCCAGAGAAACCGAGCTTCGGTATCACAGTTGTACTTTCTAGTACTATGGAAATGAAAAATTGCACAGTACTGTTAGAAATCCATCTATTTTACTTTAAAATTTCCTCAGAGCTTTGAAGAATAGCAGTTAGTCTTGCTAATTTCTTTGTGCTCAACCTGCCCATTTTTGTTGTAACTTCGTGATTTCTTCGACTCCAGACAAACTCTTCCCACATGTCTCCCAACAGGACTACAGCTTGGGAATCTACACAGTTTCTTGTAGCTTTCTTGAGTTCTCTTTCATATTCCAGTCATCAGCTGTCCTACAGGCTAGTCAGCATGTATTCAGCCCTTCATATGCTGGCAAAAAGCCTTTGTAGTAGTAGTATTGCTCAACATTTTAACTGAAGTTCCACAAACTGGACTTCATTCTGTAGTCAGAAGTTATATAACTGTTACACCAAAGAAGAGCAGTTTGACTTCTTATTTTTGTCTATACTTTGCTAACTGCAGGGAAAACCTAACCTCATCCCCCACAGATGGAGGCAGATATATACCAACTTAAGGTGCTGTCACATGAGCAGTAAAAATGTATGCAAGTAATTTTAAGGCTGGGATCACAGCAGTAAAGCCAAGTGTACTTTTACACATTACACAGGATTCTCTTTTAAAAAAAATTAATAAAAAGAAATATAAATTTTGTTTTCAATGTCCAGCAATGAATTAGGTGTTGAGCGGTAATTTTAAAGAGCAGATTACATGAACTCTAATCAATAGTCTGCATCCTGTTAGCAGACTCCAGAAGGTCAAATGCAGTCAGTAAAAAGAGTATTAACAAAGTATTAATAACATGCTCTAAAAGAACTTCCACTCATGCTAATGAAACCTGAAACAATTAGTTACAAATCTAAAAGGAGAATCAAGTCTATATTATCAATGGACTGGATGCTATGATTTCATCATCAATATAAAGAGAAAAAGAGTCAGTGGTATTTAGAAGCATCTTCTAGGCTTGTAATTGAGTTTTCCATGTAAAAAAAAAGAGGTATCCCAGAACCAACTTCAAAATCTCTTCAGCTCCTTTGCAGTTGAGCTGTTTTTTCTGGTTACCACTCAGCTCCTCCTTAGCTGGATTTGATATTAAAGCAGGACTGCTGGACTTACATACTTTGAACTTTACAGGAGACTACATCATTAACAAATTAAATATCTCAGGCAGCCATGGAGAATGGTAAAAATCAGTAAATCGATTTCCTAAACCAGACTTTTTTCCAATATTACTCCTTGCAGTAAGAAGGGGAAAAAAGAGGTTGTCTTCAGGTATGAAAACTTTAAAATCAGCACTGTGAGATCTTTTACGTAACGCTCAAAAAGGACTTAAGCAAAACAAATGTTTTTAACACCACATAAACAACATTAAAGCACTTTCACCAAGAAGAAGAGGTAGAAATAGTTTCATTCGTTTCTTATTTTGAGAATGGGTATTCAGGTAAATCTGACCTGCATACCTTTAACAACTCTTCGGGCTATGTGAGCTTTGTTATAAAATCATACAGCCTCAAAATGTTCTTTCTAGTTACAGTGTTTTTACTCTGCCCAAAATAAGTAGAACCCAAAGACCTATTTTCTTGTGCAAAGAAATGTGAACTATACAGGCCTCAAACAGCAGGGTGGTTACATGGACAGCTTCTACAAAACACACACATCAGAAGAGCACACACATGGCTTCTGGGGCTTCCTACTGTACAGATAAATTAGGAGAGAAGAGCAGTCTGAAAACAGCTGACTCCTGTCACCGCAGTCCTATCACCTAATCTGGCAACCACAGCTAACAAAACTGTCCCCACTCCCAAATGAGCAACTAAAAACTCTTCTCTGTTGACAAGAAATACAGGCTTCCAATTTAAGAGATCACCTAGGGAGACTCTTCCTTTAAGGAATCCAAACACTGATCAACCATATCATCATACTATTCCCAGCACTTTGGACTTCAGCTGCTTTTTTTTGGGCATGATAATATTCCACCTCCAGCCTAAGCTAGGTACTAACAAGATTGGGATTAGAAACTGAGAAAGCTCTGTTCAGACTTCTTTTCCGTTGCCATTGAGGAATTAATGCTAGGCATGAGATTAATCCAGCTGCTGCTGCAGAGTGAAGAGATTCAGCAACGAACAGTGCAGGAAGGTAAAGCTTGCAGCCATGATGACTGCTCTTTCTTCATTCTAGCCATGAACAGTTTCAGACATCAAATTGTACCAGCTACTTCCACAAATGGTTCATATGCACCCTGTGGTGTGGAGAGAAGGAGCCACACAAACACCAGAAACTCATGGAGAAAGCAGGTATGTGACTTTGTTGGTTCTGCACTTTGAAATTCCATTTCGTTTAATTATCACAACACTTTTGGATCATAGACCCTCCACAGGCTCAAGAGAGACACGTATACTGTCTTTCCTTTCGTTATATAGAGCACCAGCTTGGATTAGGAGGCCTTTGACTTGTCTCCTTGCCCCTCCACACACGAAATGCCTTGTAACTACAACTTTTCCAGGGATCACCATATGGTGGTATACTGATTATACAGAAAATAAGCAAGCCCTCTACCTGCAGGCATTAACCTCATGTCATCTTCAGTCAATACAGCACCACCAGGCTTACTCTCAGAAAAGGAGGATCTCCGCATCTTAGAAAGCATAGAATGGTTTGGGTTGAAAAGGACTTTAAGTCTAGTTCCAACCCCGCTATCATTAGCAAGGACACCCCACACTAGACCACACCACCCAAGGCCCCATCCAACATGGTCTTGAATGCTGCCAGGGACGGAGCATTTGCCACTTCTTTGGACAGCTTGTACCAATGCCTCACCACCCCCACAGTAAAGAACTTATTCGTTATATCTACCCTGAACTTCCTCTGTTTAAGTTTGAACCCACTACCCCTTGTCCTATTACTACAGTCCCTGATGAAGAGTCCCTCTCCTGTATCCCTATAAGCTCCCTTCAGATACTGGAAGGCTGCTATGAGGTCTCCACTCAGCCTTCTCTTCTCCAGGCTGAACAGCCCCAACTTTCTCAGCCTGTCTTCATACGGGAGGTGCTCCAACCCCCTGATTATCCTCATGAGTTGCTCCAGCAGCTCCATGTTCTTCTTATGTTGGGGACACTAGAACTGCACACAGTGTTCCAAGTAAGGTCTCACGAGAGCAGAGTAGAGGGGCAGGATCACATCCTTTGATCTGCTGGTCATGCTCCTTTTGATGCAGCCCAGGATACGGCTGGCTTTCTGGACTGTGAGCGCACACTGCAGACGGCTCATGTCAAGCTTCTCATCAACCAACATGCCCAAGTCCTTCTCTGCAGGGCTGCTCTGAATCTCTTTTCCACCCAACCTGTAGCTGTGCCTGGGATTGCCCCAACCCAGATGCCAGGTGTAGGACCTTGCACTTTGCATTGTTGAACTTCATGAGAGTGGCACTGGCTTCTCAGAAATTCCTCCCCATAATATATATTTAATTAATTAATATAGTAAGGTTAATGACCTCAAAAAAAGACAATGGAAGTCTACTGATCTTTCTTTTTGCCCTCATCCTGAAAAGCAGCAGCACTAACTGTTTAAATCCCTCCCAAATCACTTGACGAAGGTGAAGAGGTTACCTCTTTCCTCTAGGTTCTACAGCAAAAATCAGTGACAACTAAGGGTAACACTTTAAATAACCAAAAAAGAACAATCCACTGCAAGATCTATTTGTGTGGGATTTTTTTTTAAATTATAATTGTTCCCTTAATTGCCAAATTACAAAATTCAGTGAACTCTTCAGACGAATTAGATGTTCTACTGTAAAGAAATTTCCACCATACTGCATTTAACTGCTTTAACTGAAGTTTTGTATTATACACATTAGGAAGAGGCTGTAATTATTTGCAAGCACACATGCTTCAGGCAGAAAATACCATTCTTGAGCTCACAAGTTTGTCACATTGAATTGGGGAAAATTGCTGAAACTTTTATCAGCTGGGAAACTGGAACAACTGATACATTTCAGCTAAATACATAAACTGTACAAAAGTAGTAGTTACTAGAGTAACTAGAAGTCAACAGCTTTTGCTGAGTAGCAGTCCTTTAATGAAAAACATTAAACAGAGAAAAACTGCTACTGTTTGGCACCTACACTAAAAACTAGTTAGCTGGTGACCATAAGCAGGAAGGAAAGGTTAAAGAGAAAGTACCCATGTCGCATATTTGAATATTTTTAAGAGCATTAAGGCAGCTTCTTCAACTTTCAACTAACTTTGAGGCCAGTGCTTGCTTTTAATTAAAATTTTAGTTGACATACAAAAGGTTAAGAGAGAATTGCTGTTTTGTCCTGTCTTAATCCCTTCTCTACTCTTCTCTGCAGAGCATTCTGGAACACCTCAGCTATAAAAGGGAGCATAAAATCTAATATTACTGTATTGTAGCACTGTCTTAGCCTGTGGGAATTTTCAGAAAATTGCAGTAAGCAAACAGAACAGCCTACAGTGATATTTCTGCAGATCTTGAAGATATTCTTCTTTTATTTCCCAAATTATTGATACAGGACATTACTTTTTTTTAAAAGCAATTTAAATAGACAGTTGAAATTACTTCTACAGTGTCAATATCAATCAAGAAAAAAAAAAAAAAAAAAAAAAAAAAAAAAAAAAAAAAGAAAGAATCCCCATCTGTTTCTTCTCCCCCAGTCTGTCTTTTCTCCCATTGTTCCCCTAGCAGCTGAAAACCCAGGCTGCTTCTCTTTTGGGATAGATATTTCAGCTTGAAATAAAGAATTACAGGAATCAGAATAGGACTTGTTATATTGCTAGCAGTGTTAGGTGAAAAAAACCAGTATTTTCTATAAAGAATAAATTCAGGACTTACCATAAGCCTTGATGTTTGAGCTTAATCAGAGAAACAGTAACAGATAACTTGTAAAGAAGTTAAAATTCATCAATAGTGGAAAAAGAAACAGGCTTTCCTCAAGTAAATGACCTATCTTGTGAAGAGGAATCAATGCACAAATAATTCCCAGACTTGAGGATTCAAGAACAGAAACAGAGCTTCCCAAGGTCAAGAAAAGTTTTGAAATCTAAGTTTCGATTTTTTAGAGCATTTTGACTGGATTCTCTTGCCAGAATATAAAGGCATAATATACAGCAAGGTACCCTGAAAACAGTTTGGTGCAGAATATAAAATATTCAGGATAGTACCTCCAGTTTTGGTTACACATTTCCAGAAGAGATGGAGAACCTCAGGACTAAAATTTCCAGACATGCCTTGGCTCTGTCTTTCAGTTCACACTGTTACGAACATAATGTTTTTTCAGTGGCTTCTATTCAGTCTGACTTCAGCTTTCTCATCTGATTGGGCTTCCAGTACTCCCCTTCAGAGACTGCAGAATAATCTCTTTAAATATCACTCATTACTAAAACATTCTTCCCCTTGATAAGCTGAATCAAAGTCTTTATCTTAATTCTCCTATACTGTTAGTCAGTAATACCCATGCAAAATCCTAAAAATATTTTGACAATGTTCAGATAGTTTTATGTTCTTTAGAACTGCAGAGAACATATCGTACAACAACAACAAAACCCAATTAAAACAAAAAAAAGGCACAGTTCATGCCTGAAGTGTGCACTTTATTTCTGACAAGCTTTTATATATACAGCAGTTCCAATGATATTTTTCTGGTAGAGATTACTGATTTACTTTTTCATTACTACTCTATTACAGTAGGACACATCACCAAAAGCAAGCAATTGAAACTTCTTAGGTATGGCAAAATACATTCCAACGGCTATCATTGGAAATCATGGTTTGTAAAAAAATCATGTCTACTTTTATCATTTCCAACTGTTGCCTTTTGTCAATCAGTATTTTTTAAGTAATACTGACAAACTTAAAAGGAGGTCAAGAAACAAGTGAAGATATAGTATCATCATTGCCTTTATTTAGACAGCGATGCAATTTCCTTCCTGCATGTAGTCCAACAAGTGAGATCCCATAGAGAAAGAATATTACACACAAGTTAAAGTGCTTGCAGGGCTACAGTCCTAGGTTTTCCTATCGCAAAGAACTTTACAAAGTCTGATGTTCTGCTCGAACAATTCTCCTTGCTTAGGTGGCAAGAGATCTAAATTTCCAGAATACATATTTATAATCCATGGTATCTTTTGAAAGATACCCCACTAGGGAAAATCAGCATATACCGGAATTATGAAATTAGGGCTGATTGATCTGCCTGTTCATAGATATAGGAATAACTCCTCTCAGTGCCAAAGAGCTTTTTGTCTGTTAACTAAATTTTCTTCCCAAAAGAATTTAGTTTTTATTATTTGACATTGTCTCTTTGGAAGAAAAGATGGTGCTTGGAATAAAATGATACAAAAATGGCTGAACAAATTGATGCTAGTCCTCTACTAGACCTGATATAGAATCATAGAATCATAGACTAGTTAGGGTTGGAAAGGACCTTAAGATCATCTAGTTCCAACTCCCCTGCCATGAGCAGGGACACCACACACTAAACTGTGTCACCCAAGGCTCTGTCCAGCCTGGCCTTGAACACCTCCAGGGTTGGAGCATGCACAACTTCCTTGGGCAACCTATTCCAGTGCCTCACCACCCTCACTGTGAAGAACTTCTTCCTTATATCTAACCTAAAGTTCCCCTGTTTAAGTTTAAAGCCATATGTCTAATGCCTGCTTGGGATGCTCTTATAGGGAGTCAGAGACATTGATTTACATACCTTTCAAGGAGAAGGGGAATCAGAGCCTAGTTTTCCCACATTGAGTGCTTCCTGCTCTGCAACCAAATCTTTCTTTCATGAAGAATCTAGGCATCTAACTTTGTACTTTCTTGTGCTGTACATCACACCAGTTCATTTTATGAGGGTCACTATTTGGCTCAAGCTCACAAACAGTCAACTTGTTCTTGAATGGCACAGGCCTTTCATGGAGGGATTGCAGGTTGGTAAGCATTATTCTCAACATCCAAAAATATGCCCAGATCTAACTGGTTACGACAGAAGCAGAAAACCTTTTGTTCATCAGAACTAACATACCACATTGGGAATGACTCTCCAATGTGTCCTATACACCCCCATTCTTCAGTCTTGCACACAAAGATGTCAATGACACGAGCCTCGCTTAACACCCTACTTATTTGCATCCACTGACTTAGACTCACATTTAAGCTCACTTTTAGAATACAAGTGGAATCATGTTTATTTAGTACAGGGGGGTGAATTCCATGCTCAAAGAAATCTTACTATGATTGTAGTGAGCTTATTTGCTCCCAAAACCAGGCACACGAAACAGAAGTCAGGCAACTCAAACACATCTTTCTTAAGTATTTTTGAAGGGAACCGTATTTTATTGGTTTTTGTTTTTTCCCCAAAATATTTCTTAGAAAGGCTGAGGTCTAACACACATCTGAAATAACATTATAACAGTGCTTTCAAAACACAAGCTAAATAATCACACTCTTGGTTTATTGCAAACCAATTTGCATCCTTAGTAAGTGGTTAACGAATACAATCAGGACCCTCCCTGTGGCACTAACAGTAGCTTTTGTTGATACACTACTGAACTGTGTTTATAGTGCCTCTACTTTAGAGACAAATCCTATTTTAAACACATTGGGATGCCTTTTTTTTATAAAAAATAATACAATTATCTTTTGCCCAGAAGTAATAGAAACTATTAAGTACATAGATACTAAAGTGAATGGAGAATTTTAGTGCTGTTCTAAGTTCAAAACCCATCTGTTCTCTTCAAATAGAGAAATTTTTCTGATTTTCTTTTTGTCAACAAACTTTGAGAAAGTCAAGTTCAAATTTTATTGCAAGAGGGCAATTACAAAAGAAAAAATATAAAAATATGTATGATGTACAGGCATTTCTTCATGTCTCTTATTGCCTCTTTTCTCCATAAGTATAAATTTGTTTGAATGTAAAGCTGTCAATTTGCAGTTAATACAAAGCTCATCAAACATCCAGACTAGTATAAATACATCGTGCTGAGTCATAATGTAATGATTCACAGAATTCTTTTTCCCATTTTTCCTAGGTATGTTGTCTTTATTGTGGATTCCTCCATTTCACTAGTGGCTTTAAATGAATTGTCTTATTAACATTTATAAGTAATAATCATAGCATCAGTAATCAAAATCAATGCATACAAATGACTCACCAGGTTGACGATGGTGCTCTTCACTTTGGAATGGGCTGAACTCATAAGTAGATATTCTGCTTTTCAATAACAAAGTCAGAACATTGTCCAGCTTCTCCACAGAAGAAAATCTAAAAGCCTGTTAAGAAAAAAAGAAAAAGTTGTTACATACGTATTTTTAACTGTATGCGCAGAGAGCTAGTGAATTAAATTACTCAAACCAGTTATTGTTACAAACTCACTTTAAGTAAGAGCAGCATAGGTTTTGAAAGCTACAGAAGACATACTCTAACGTAGAAGGATCATGCTAACAAAAAAATCCAACTGAAGAAAACCAGTTGTTTTGCACTCAGACAAACAAATTTACTTGGGATAAAATGATGTTTCACAATCAGAAATGGAGCAAGTCCTTGAAATAAGAGCAGCACACAACATTAGGAACTTGCAGCAAAATTTTTAAGGCCATAAACAGTTGCATGGCTTAACCACATCAGGCTAGTTCAGTTTTTACAAGATGTTGAGACAGAAGCTAGACTTGCCTGATCTCCCAAAGGGGGCAGATTAAACTGTAGCTAAATTTCTCATGCTTTAACAGGCCTGTCTTCCAGTGACCAGCCTATCCACTTCTATGATTTCAAAGCCAGGCACAATACACTTCTTATACAGAGTTATCAGTGCAATTTGCTTCAAGTCTTCCAGCTCAAATTTTTAGCTCTTACTCTAGGGATCTAAAAGCTGAAGGGTCTAGCAACGATTTAACAAGCTGTCTTGTTAACTAAAGCGTAATTAGTAGCTTTGTTTTCCTATTCTACAATGAAGTTCTTAAAAAAAATAATAGATAATGTCTATGTTAATGTCTTATCAAACACACAGGAGGATCTGTTCCAGTACTTACATGACCGTAACAGTGAAAACAGAACTAACAATAGGACCACACTGCACTATCTAGCTCCATACAACATGTAAGTCACCTCCACCAAGGAGCTCAATTTAGAGACTCTTACTTTACTGCTCATTCCAGCTCCAGAGGACTCACAGACTTTAAGTACGCTGCACTGCACCAGCTACTAAGAAGGAGAAAAAATGACTGCTGTAGATGAACCCAGGACAACCCTACACCAGTCTTACAGGCCCATGAAATCTTCCCAATAAATCTCACCAACACTACGTACCTAAAATTCATGCTGAAGCTTCACCAAAGCCAACAGAAGTAGAACTGTATTTAAAGTTAAGTACACTGCAAAAGAACAGGAGTTTAAGAAAACCCACATTTTATCCGAGTAAAGACTTAAAACGTGACAGAAAAGAAGTAAAAGCACTACCTTCTCCCTGTATGCTTACAGACAAGTTCTTCTTTTTAGGAGTCACACATAACTAAACTAGCAGGTTTGCAGGCAACTCTCATATGCTCTGCAACACAGCCACCTTCTCTCTACTCCACACTTCCATCCTGGTCCTTCCACAAAAACTACTACCCACCCCAAAACTCATCACCAGCAGCTTGTCCTTGTTCAGCACCACCTCCCCAGGTGTAGGCACTATCTCCATTCTCTCCCCCTTTTCAAAGCAACAAGACACAGCTGCAAACAACAGAGAAGCCCTGCCATACCTGGGCTTCCAAACTATCCCTGAAAAGGACAAGACCAAGCACATATTTTGCTACTTTTGTGAACAAGACGATCTACGTTCTTTAATAACTGCTAACAAAGCCCTGAAAATATGTGTCACTGAAACACAGCCAGTAAATTAACATACTTCTTCCTGGCTTTAGCAGTACTAACAAGGTTACACTTACATAAAGATGAACTTCAGTAGTTCTTATATATCAGACAGTACTTTGTATGCGCTTCAGTATCTAGATTTCTATCAAAAAGAATGGGGTAGGCTTAAAAATCACTTAGGCATTTCTGACAATTTTAGCCAGTGATAGAATATGGAGAGATTTCATACTTAGAGGAAAGAAAAGAAACATTTTAAAATAACAGCTGCTGACGTGGCTTAGAGGATTGAAATATTAAAAATGGTTTCAAAGGAAATATCTCTGGGGATCAGGTAAAGTTGAATACATAATATCACCACATAAGTCATGTAGCCATTTCTTACAAGTTTTCATAGAAAAGACTGCAGTTTATTTTTACTCTTCTTTTTCAATATACACTATAATTGGAATCCTGTTTGATGAATATAATAAGAAAGTCCTTTAAGGTATTAAGTCTTGCAGAATCATAAGAGTATTATTCAACAAAGTTTGTAATAAAGACTCCTTGAATCTCTCCAGATATTCTGAATCACTCAAACTAACATAAACCTATCAGTTGCAGTAATAAGGATATGACCTTAGTTTCAATTTGGTTTTCCGAACCTAAGAAACCTGTGCCTGAAAATCCAAACACTAATTAATGGAATCAATAGTTGCATTTTATAAAGTCTGAGAGAAAAATCAATACAGCATGTAAATCCAGCAGAATGTTGAAATGAGAAGTTGATGAAGAGTAAAATATGAAATATGAAAAAGTTTATTTATGAATTACAGGAACCTTAAAATCAGTTTGGACACTGGGTTACTGCAAGAACACAAACTCCCTAGGAGAGGGTTGTTTTTTTTTAATGCAAAATTGTATGAAGAGAGAGAAAAAAAATTTCACAGCCTTTAGCCAATGCCTACCCTCATATATTCTGATAGCAAGGAAGTTCAGCATTATGATTCAGTTGTTATGATCCCAACTCTTCCTACTTTTCTATAAAATTTCAAGTTTTTTCTTTCAAAATTTATGCAAAGAAACTTATTTCATTTTTACAATATTTATTTCCTTACAATTTAAATATTTATTTCATTGTTTCAAATGTCTTAGACTTCCGAGAAATTTAGAAGATAGAAAACTACAATCTACCAGATGTGACAAAGAATTTAATTCAAAATTATGATTTGTAAAAAAACCTTAGAATTCATTTAATCTAAAATATGACTAGTGTTAATCTTTAATTGCTCTCTAAAGAGACAAATTCATAACTGCTGCAGTACCTTTCTTTGTTGGTCTCCCACTAAGATACACAAACTGACCTATCCATCAGTAAAAAGAATGGATAGGTGTAAGCCTATTTGTTGGGGTTTATTTATGTGTTCAGCTTTACTAGAGGATAAAGTGAAGAAGAGGACAAGAACCTCTATGATGATAGCATCTCAAAGTAACTGGAAGAGTTGGCAACACAAGATTACAATACAGTGAAAGCATTTTACCAAAACATTCTGCCTATGGTATGCATTACTGTAACAATTTGCTTTCATCACAGAATTTTAATGAGGAGATACTTCTCAGATTGCAAGCATTTTTGAAAATCTTGAACTTCTCTTTGAACCAAAGAGTGATATTGCTTTGATCAATAATTGCTGTAAGCTTTTCTATTTTATTTCGGTTTTGTTTTCCATTGTGTTTGATTGTTACTTTACATAGATAAATGACTGTTGCCCCAGGATACTTTTGCAAATAAGCTGATAGTCTCGAAGGTTTTAATTATCCTGGTTAAATAACAGTTACTGCTACTCCTGCTACTTGATGGGAATTCTAATTATTATTAAGTCTGTTTTGTTTTTCCTTGTGTGAACATATTTTAAAAGATTAAGTTAAATCACATTCTCTAAATTACATCTTTACAATGTATCTTATTGCCATTAAATCAGGTTTACATGAGAGCTTAAAGTATTTTAAAAGTTTGTGGCAACAGTTTAGCTACCCAGCTAGTTAGGGCACCTCACTCCGTGGCCCAGTAGGTACCATTAAGTATGATGACAAATCTGCCAGCACGTATGTACACTTACAAAAAGATTACCATTAGTAATCCTGTACTCAAAGAGCAGCCAAGATACTGTGTGGATTGTAGAACTTACCCGATCGTAAAGATTTTCTCAGCATTAATTTTTCAGTTGCCAAAACAATAGAATTAGGAACAGGCAAACACTATCACCTCATTTAAACCCTTGCTTATTAGCTAGATGAGAAATTGTGAAACATGCCTGATAGTCATAATACCACGGTTCTATTTCGTGGTGTGTGCTACTGCTCTGCACAGAATTAATTTTGCATTTGAATATAATTTGAATTGCATGTGTCTTACTAAATATTAGTCATGCTGGTTAAGCGAAGGGTCAAACTCCTGAATAACACAAATCTCCAGTGGAATACCAGGTGTGTTGCAGGTATCTAGGTTACCATTGTAGTTACAATTTCTTAATCATTATAACACACTTTTTATGCATAAAATTGTAAATGAAACCTGTTAGAAGCTTACTTCCATGCCTTTCAAAATACAGGCTAAAGAATGATGGATACCATGAAGATTTTAAGAACACATTTGTACTTAAGAGTTGCACGATTTTTCTTCTGTTTTCATAGAACAGAAGTGACTTGTACTTGTAAGGAATCTACCCCCATCCTTAATAGAACACTAATATTGCAATGCATCATTTTTATTAATCCTTTTGTTATGAGTGTTATGCCTTAGGTGCTAGATAAGGTAGATTTGTCACAGGAAAATGAGACTGCCTGCCCTGGAAACACAGAGTATTATGTTTGTTCTGGCTTAGCAATTACAATATAGACACCGTGACTGCTTGGACTACCCACCATTCAACAAATGATACTTGAGAGTCCATCTTTTCTTAATAGATGCTTTCTTTTCTTATTATTTTGTATATGTCATTGGCAAAGGACATACTGCAGAGCACTCAGCTCAAAACCTGAATTTTTCTAAATATATGCAAAGAATATGCATGGCAACCAGCAAACCACATGAATGATAATTCAGCAGCTATAAATGGACTCTGCATGAATAGCAACCTACTGCCTTCCATACAAGCTATGCCAGAAAAATCCTGTTTGCTCGTGAATGAATAATAACCCTCCAAATACAATGTGATTTAAGATTACTTGCTTCTATCAGTTTTAGAATGTACTAAAAAGAACACTTTCAGTGGAGAGGGACATCATTACTGTTTGTTATTTTCATTCTCTGTAATGCAGGATGTTGTTCATTGGGCATATACAGCACAAAGGATGTTTATATCACTCTCTAAACAAAACCAAAAAAGACATAAAATTTGTTTTCACTTGCCTGACTTGCTTTACAGCTAGACATCTCAAAGACAGGCTTCTGTAATCATAAGCCTGTTATGGAGCCATTATCCATTACTGCGCAATCAGAAGATTGTGTATTATGTCTTAGCTCATACAGTGACTTTTGTTCTTCCTTTTTTAAATTTTTTTTTATTGAAAATGCAGAAGTCAGCTTACCTGGCAAGTGAAAGCTATTGGGTCAGCCACTTTCTTAAAAATGTGCTCAATCTCCTCTAGTGCTGTATAGTACTCGATCTGTGCTGTGGTCTTAACGACTCCTCCACAGTAGACATTCACATATACAGGGCCAGCAGGAAAATCTTATAAAACACAATCAGAACAGTAGCTGAAAATATTTTAACAGGCCCAGACCAGAGGTCTCGGAATGAGTAAAGAAGAGGAAAATCTCACAGAAAATGCATAGAGCCAGTGAACTAGATTTACAGATGATTCAGTGTAGTCAGTTTTTTATCCAGGTCTTTCAGTCTAACATTAAAAAGCTGACAAAAGAAAACATTTATCTGTAAATCTGTATAAAACAAAGCTACCGCATTACTTCATGTTAGAAGGGAGATGAAAACAGTACGCTTCAAATTTTCAACTTCCCTTTGATAGACTGATGACCTATAATCAGCTCCCTTACGCCTACAAATTAAGGAAAAGTTCATTTATTACAAATAGTGGAATTGCTATTCATCTTTTGAAACATTTTTCTTAATTACAGGCAAGGTTCTCAAAATTGAATTTGAACTAGGCTGCAGAAACTGCAGTATAATTACTTCCATTCCAGTTGTTTACCTGGTGAAAGCAAAGGAAAGAGGCATTTCTCCAGTCTGTTTGTTACTTAAGTATGACTTGCTCTGTGTATGCAGCATGAGCCCTTTTTATGAGCACATTTAGAATTCATTAGTATTCATTGTGCCAGGCATCCTGCTGTACCATACAAGCACTAGCATGGTTTTCTTGAAATTCTAACTCTGCCCACAAAAAAGAATAAAAATGGGCAACCCTGAAAATTAAGAGGAGTAATAGGGCCAAAAAAACGAAATTAATAAAACATCACCTTAAATCACTTAAGTGGAAACTGCCCC